CACAGCACCTGGCAGGCTGCCGGCCGAGCCAGCCCGACTGCCCGGTTCAGCGGACCGGCAGTCCGGTCCAGACCGGTTCAGACCGGCTGGACCGGTTCAGTCAATACTTGTCAGTTTCAGTCCCGGTTCTCAATTTCAGTGTCATTTTAGTTAAAATTCTGGGTTCGGTTCAGCTCAGTTAATTTATGTCAGTTCAGTTTCGTACTTAGCCGATTTTAGTTATACCGAATAAGTTCAAATTGCATGTCAGATTCAGTAGAGCATCTTAACATAATTAAAACAGTTAAATTATCAGTCTGAGCATAGTCAGTAGTAATTGTTTATATTATTTTCAGTTTGATCAGACATCAGCACTACCGTTCAGTTTCAGCAGTTCAGGTGGGGACTCAGACTAAGTACTACATTGATTATAATTACGGTACCATGTTTGAGGTATGTATTTCATGTCATGTATCCGCTCGGAATGGTCGCCGGTCCATTCTGGGTTCTAGTGGCCCTAGTCTGCCCACTAGAGTGTGCACATGGTGTCCGGCATTAGTTTTTGCCGGCAGATGAGGTAACGGTCAGGGTTCACGTTCGCATGACGATATCAGATTCATGTTCATGTTATTACCGGTTTCATGTTAAGGTTATGTATATGCTAAGATCATGATATTGTTATTATTTTCAATGTTTACATTAGTATGAGTTTCTGCGGAGCACAAGTGTTTTAGTGCTCACGCCCCCACGCATTTCATGTTTTTTTCAGGTCGCAGGGTCGGGGATGAGGAGTGAGCTGGCGGGCAGTTCAAGATATTTGCGAATATATGTATATATGTTTTGCCACACTTTGTTTCCGCTAAAACTTTCAGTACTTATTTTCAGTTTTTGTTCCGACATTAGTCAGATAAGACATTATAACCGTTTTTATTTATCAGTTTAAAATTTTAACAGTTTTCAGAAAGAAAAATCAAGTTTTTCACGGTAGCATCCCGAATGAGTTTTCACAAAAGAAATATTTTATTTATTTTTATTTAGAAAATTTGCGAAAAATCGCGTACTCTGATAGTAGTAAAAAGTCGGGGTGTTACAATGGGGCCAAAAATTGGGCTGAAAAATGTTTATCAAATTGGACCAATATTTGATAATCAATTTGGGCTAGTTTAAGGTAGCTCTATTTGGGCCTGAATTTATATGGCAAAAGGCTTAGGAACTTCATATGTACTAGAATGAAATCGGTTTGGGCCGATTATCAATCTCGAAGCTCAGAAAGAAAACGCGACGACACGCAAATGAAACTGGGCATTATATATATATATATACATATATATATAATACACACAATATTAATAATAATAATAATAATCATTTAGACAATTATATAAATAAATACTAATAACAACAAATAATAGCAATTTGACAATTTAGGCATTAAAATAATAATAATAATAATAATAATAATAATAATAATAATAATAATAATAATAATAATAATAATAATAATAATAATAATAATAATCACACCCAAATAATAATAATAATAATAATAAGGAGAGCAAATATTAATAAAGAAAAATAAATAATAACTCCAAATAATCCACAATCAAACGGGGTATTACATACGGACTCATATCAAATATAGTCATAGTGAGCCAAGATCCACATCCATCCCATTATAGTCCCAGCTAGGGCTGATCACTATAATGTATGTAGTGGTAGGTTTCAAAACCAATTGTAAACAATTATAACTCTTGGTTGATCAAATCTAATTTGATCGATGTCCTTAGATCATTCCGACGCTATGGCGACAAGAATTAGCTAAGTAAGTCAAAACCATCACACGATCACAAACATATGTATCTATGAATGAGTCTGAGCCTCATAGAGCTAAGCAAACACTGGGGTGTAAATACTTTTGGACGAATTGATTTTTACACTCATTCAATTGTGATGTGTGACGTCATACATCCAAGATGAGACTTATATTTATTAGGGGAACATTTTCGACGGGGTATTAAATATCCAATATTCAAACAAGATCCAACTAATAACACATATCGGGCGCCGCCTACCCGAGCATAATATAATGCGGTCCGGAAAATACTGGGCGCCGCATACCCAAGCATAATATCGCGACCCACAAATACTGGGCGCCGCCTACCCAGACCATATATAACGCGGACGCTAACTAAAATAAATAAACTATTTAATTTATTTCAGTTAGACAAATAAGAACAAATAATCCAATTATCATGCATTTATAATATTCCAAACACATAAATATGTATTCAAAATACATATGCCAAGTAAATTCATGGATCAAAATAATGTGTTAAAATGTTAATCAAAATTTCTAAAATTTTGAAACAAGCTCGAAGCTTTATTTCGTTCATTAAATATTTCAAAAATATTTAAGAACCATTTGACAATAGTTTTTAGTTTGAAATATACCCCAAGGGTTATTTTCAATTTTAGGGATTTTTCAGAAATTTGAAACAAGCAAAAATACTAATTATTTCAACTTTTTCCAAAATTCTGAAATTAGAATATAGCCAAACATGCCTTAGCATCTTTTCAGAATTACGAATTGGCCCCAAGGACCAAAAAGTAGTTTTTTAAAAACTGTTCAAAATCGCAGATTTTCCCCAAGGGCCAAACTGCAATAAACAAAAATTTCCAAAATTACAGATTTACCACAAGGGTCAATTTATAATTATTGAGAGTAGATGACAATATAGCATACGAATTAAAAACGAGAAAGTAAACAACACAAGATTTACGTGGTTCGGCAATTTGCCTACGTCCACGGCGACTGAGGGATCTTTATTATTCTCTATAATCTCAAATACATCAATATACCATGTATTTATACTAAAACCCTACAAGGTATAAATTTACTTAAATACCCTGTACCGTACCGCGGGGCTCTGCCCCCGCACCCCCGTCCATACTGCGGGGGCTCCGCCCCCGCATCCCCCAACTAATCGACCCAGCCCAACAGGGGCTCCGCTTCCCTCGCTACGTTCGCTCCGTTGCGCTCGCAGGTATCAGCCTGCCCCCTTCCTTTGTCAATATATGAGCCATACCAACAAATCTCCACCTTGGCGAATATATCACCTCCTTAGGAGAACACAATAGCGAGCACCTCTGCAAGACACACCAAGCAGACCGGAGGTACCATGCAACTCTAGCATGCAGAAACATTCAACAAATCCAAGCAATGATTGAATTTGTTAGAAGTAATAGTCTTAGTCAACATATCAGCAACATTCTCTTCAGTATGAACTTTCTCCAACTGAATATCACCAGAAGCAATCCATTCCCTAATCTTGTGGAACCTCACATCAATATGCTTCGTCCTAGCATGATATATCTGATTCTTAGCCAAATGAATGGCACTCTGACTGTCACAATGTACTAGAACTCCACCTTGCTGAATACCCAACTCTCTAACCAATCCAGCAAGCCACACTATTTCCTTTTCCGCTTCAGCCAAAGCAATATACTCAGCTTCAGTTGTAGATAGAGCAACTATAGGCTGAGGATTCGACCACCAACAAATAGGCCCTCCACAAAAAATGAAGACATACCCAGTGGTGGATCTCCTATTATCCAAGTCCCCAGCATAATCAGAATCCACATATCCTACAACAAAAGGATCCAACGGCTGATCTCCAAACACAATACCATGTCCCGTAGTACCTTTCAAATATCTGAAAATCCATTTGACTGCCTCCCAATGCTGTTTACCCGGCCTAGACATATACTTGCAAACTTGACCAACAACATGAGCTAAATCAGGACGAATACATACCATGGCATACATCAGACATCCAACAACACTGGCATAAGGTATCTCCACCATACCCTGAGTCTCCTTGTCCGACTTGGGGCACTGATCAACAGAAAGCTTGAAGTGGTTTGCTAATGGAGTGCTCACCGGTTTTGCTTCATTTATCCGAAACCTCTGTGGCACCTTCTCCACATAACCCTTCTGAGATAAACACAACTTCTTTGATCCTCTATCCCTGTGAATCTCCATCCTAAGAATCTTTTTCGCAGCCCCCAAATCCTTCATCTCATATTCCTGACTCAAAAGGCTTTTCAGATCAACAATATCACGCATATTCTTGGCATCAATAAGCATGTCATCAACAATAAAGTAACAGAAAAATTATAAAACCATCACCAAGGCTCTTAGTGTAAACACAACAATCGAACTCACCACGTTTGTAGCCAATCTTCAGCATATACAAATCAAACCGTATATTCCACTGCCGTGATGCTTGCTTCAAGCCATACAAGGATTTATTCAACCTGCAAAATAAATGCTTCTTTTCTGGTTGAACAAAACCCTCTGGCTGCTGCATGTAAATAGGCTCTGCGAGATCACCATGCAAGAAAGCAGTCTTCACATCCATCTGCTCCAAATGCAAATCCCAACTAGCCACCAATGCAAGTACAACCCTGATCGAAGTATGTCTAACCAAAGGAGAAAATGTCTCATCATAGTCAATCCCCTTTTGCTGTGAGTATCCTTTAGCCACCAATCGAGCCTTGAACCTTTCCCCTCATTTTTCTGTTACTAATGACTTCCTTGTGTAAATCCACCTACACACAATAGCTTTCTTCCCTTCGCGAAGAACATCCAACTCCCATGTCTGATTCTTGTGTACAGAATTCATCTGTTCTTCCATGGCAGCCTTCCATCTATCATTATTCTCACAAGAAACAACCTCCTGGAAAGTACAAGGATCCACACTAGTGATCATAAGAGCAAACGCCACCATATCCTCATAACCAAACCTGACCGGAGCTTGTATATTGGTACACCTCACTCTAACCCGAGCTAACTTGTAGCTCTCTGGCACATTAGTTGGGCCAGAAACATTATGATCAACATCATCAGGCACAGAACTCGAACTCTCTCCCTTATCAAGAACTACTGGAACATGTTCTAACTCCACCTGTACCTTATCTGCATCTGATCCCAACATAGACTGTTCATCAAACACTGCATCTCTACTAATCACCGTCTTCTTCCCAACTGGATCCCAAGACTTGTATCCCTTCACACCTTTCTTATAGCCCAGAAAAGTGCACTTCTTTGATTTAGCATCAAGTTTTGACCTCTCATCAGCAGAAATATGAACATAAGCAGGACAACCAAAAATCTTCAGATGATCAAAACTAACATCATTACCTGTCCATACTTCTTCTGCAACTTTGCCATCGAGAGATGCACGTGGTGATCTGTTAATCAAATAACAAGCCATACTTACATCCTCAGCCCAGAAACTCTTTGGCAAACCTGCATTCAGTCTTAAACACCTCGCCCTCTTAGCCAGTGTCCGATTCATCCTCTCAAAAACACCATTCTGCTGTGGCGTTTTACGCACTGTAAAATGCCTTTGAATGCCATGCACCTCATAAAGCTTCTGGAACTGTGAATCGGTGTACTCTATACCATTATCAGACCTTAAATACGTGATCTTCCTACCAGTCTGGTTCTCCGCCTCAGCCAGCTTGAATTTAGCAAAAACTTCAGATTTATGCTTCATGAAATACACCCAAACTTTCTTCGGAAAATCATCAATAACGGTCACATAGTACACAGAACCACCAATCGATGTCACTCTAGTAGGACCCCACACATCTGAATGTACATAATCCAGAATTCCTTTTGTTTTCTTCTTCCCAGTCTTGAAACTGACTTTTGTTTGCTTTCCCAGAACACAAAACTTGCAGAAATTAAGTTTGCAAGTTTTAACACCATGCAGAAGCCCCCATCTTATGCAGTTCAGTCATGCCATGTTCACTAAGATGTCCAAGATGCATGTGCCACAATTTCGTGCTATCTTCACACGACTCCACCAATTGGACCCCACCTACAACTGTACTTCCCAACAGTTTGTAAATGTTCCCTGCAGTGATCCTCCCCTTCATCACAGTCAAGGCACCCTTCACAATCTTAATGGTTTCCCTATCCTCATCAGCCTTGGGAATGAAACCATTTCTATGCAAAGTACCCAAAGAAATCAAATTCTTCTTCAACTCAGGGATATGTCTCACATCACACAATGTCTTAACAGTTCCATCATACATCCTGATTTTGACATCTCCAATGCCGACAATACCGCAACATCTATCATCACCAAGAAAAACAGAACCCGAGTTTCCTGGTTTATAAGTAACAAACCACTCTCTGTTAGGCGTTATATGATATGAACATCCAGAATCGAGAATCCAAGCATCATCATACTGCGCAGTCGAAATAGATAACATATCTCCATCACTGCAATCGGATTCCTTATTTTGTACCACATTCGCAGACTTGCATGACATATCAGCAGTCTGTTTCTTCCATTTTGGACAATCCCGTTTGAAGTGCCCATGTTCCTTGCACTTATAACACGTCACAGTTTTCTTCCCTTTCAATTTGTCTCGCGACTTGGATCTAAAATTCCGATTTTCTGAATTATCCCGCACTTGTCTTCTTCTACGATCCTGGTTACCCTTCACATATAAGTTGTCACTTTGAGAAGACGACTCTCCAGATTTCTGTTTCTGCTGGTTGTGAGCCAACAACGCTGAAGTAATCTCCTCAGTCTTGATCGTTTCTTTCCCATATGTAAGGGTAGTCCCCGTATGTTCGTAAGAAGGAGGTAACGAACACAGTAAAATCATCACCTTGTCTTCATCTTCAATCTTCACTTCGAGTGAAGCCAAATCCGTGACGACCTGATTGAAGATATTCACATGTTGCCCTAAAGCGGTCCCCTCCTGCATCTTCAGCCCGTATAACCTCTGCTTCAGATACAGTTTTGTCGTTAGGGTTTTCGACATGAACTGCGATTCCAGTTTCTTCCAGATCTCATCCGCCGATTTGAGATGCATAACGTGATACATAATTTCATCTGCAAGGCACAACCGAATCATCCCGACCACTTGTTCTTGCAGATCTTGCCAATCATCGTCTTCCATTTCCTTAGGCTTTTCCGCGCGCAGCCCTTTCTGAATTCCTTACTGCACCAATAAATCTTTTACTCTCGTCTGCCATAATCCGAAATTGCCATGACCATCAAATTTCGAGACCTCGAATTTCGATCCTCCCGTCATCACCGTCGCCCAATCAACCAGGCTCTGGTACCACTTGTTGAGAGTAGATGACAATATAGCATACGAATTAAAAACAAAAAAGTAAACAACACAAGATTTACATGGTTCGGCAATATGCCTACGTCCACGGCGGCTGAGGGATCTTTATTATTCTCTATAATCTCAAATACATCAATACACCATGTATTTATACTAAAACCCTACAAGGTATAAATTTACTTAAATACCCTGTACCGTACCGCGGGGGCTCTGCCTCCGCACCCCCCGGCCCAACTAATCGACCCAGCCCAACAGGGGCTCCGCTTCCCTCGCTCCGTTACGCTCGTAGGCATCAGTCTGCCCCCTTCCTTTGTCAATATATGAGCCATACTAACAAATAATAAACTAAAGTCTCTGAAATTGCAAATTAGCCCCTAACAATTGTCAAATTTTTGGAAGCAGGTCCCTGCACCAAAACCCTATTTCACGCACCCACCCTCTCGCCCATCGTGCATCTGCCGCAGCGTCCGATCTTCGGCAAGCCATCGCCGCCCCAGGCTGGCGTATTCTCGTCGGAAACCTCCCAGACGGTGAAACCGTTTTTTTTTAATAAGTCTGCCATTAATGGTGGACCTGCGATGTAATATCCCGACAAATTATCAGTATAAATTCTATTTTTAGTTCCGACATTGTTATTTCCAGAATTAAATTATTTTCCAGTCGAGATTACCGAAATATATTTTCGACGTACCGTTTACGTTCGAAATAATTTTGGTAATTAAGTATTATGCTTAATTAATTGATTAAGCCTTAATTTGTGATTGATGGTAATTAATCACCATTAGTCCGTTAATTGCCGTGCATGGAGAATTTCCAATCATGCATGCCGTGTGCTTCATGTGTATGTGTTAGTGGATTTTGATCCAATTCATGCTAGTAAGCCGTGCGTGCGGAACTCATCATTTTTGTCCTCTATAATGCCGTGAGTAGTGGCATAGATATTAGAGAAGTTGGTCCAAGATTCCTTCTTTAGTCCTTAATAGCCGTGCACCTCCTTTGTCTTTATGTTAGTGTTTTGTTCCAAATTTCCTTATCTTTGTCCTATGTGTCGTGCAAATTTCTTAGTGGGAATTTTGTCCACAAGCCTTCTCCATCATGCAAATTCACGTGGCTTTATGGAGGCAAGAAGAGCTTGGCA